AGATCTTTTTCAAGCTCAGATGCCCCCTGCAAGCAATCAGAGGGAGTTGGCTTCTTATCATGACAAGAATAAATGGTAGTATCATCAGCGAACAATGCCACCTTAGATGTGAGAATATCTGGAAGATCGTTAATGTTAATTAAAAAGAGCATAAGGCCAAGGATTAAATCTTGGGGAACCCCTGAGGTTACAGAATAAGAAGAAAAGTGCTGTCCATCAAGGACAACTTTTATACTACGATTGGAAAGAAAGGATTCAATAATCTTAATAATGTTTCCAGATACACCATAAGAAGAAAGCTTATGGAGGAGACCAGCATGCCAAACTTTATCAAACGCTTTAGAAATGTCAAGAGCAATGGCTTTAACCTCTCCACCTTTATCTAATGCGCGATAAAACCTATCGGTTATTACTGATAGCAAATCAGCCGTAGAACGAGAAGATCAAAATCCATACTGATGATCAGAAAGTAAGTTATGAGATTTGAGATGAGAGATTAAGTGTTTGTTAATTAAAGATTCAAAAACCATGCTTATGATAGGAAGAAGACTAATGGGGTGGTAGTTAGATGAGTCAGATCGCTCTTCAGAATTTTTAATAATAGGGATAACAGATGCTGCTTTCCAGCAGGCTGGAAAACAAGACTCTGATAAGCACTTGTTAAATAGTTTTGAAAGGATTGACGACAGCTCCAGAGAACACTTCTGCAAGACTATAACAGGTATGTTGTCCGGGCCGCAAGCTGTAGAAGAGTCTAAGCGGGAAATCACTTTAGATACAGAAGCTGGAGTAATACGAATGTCGAGCAATGGATCAACCTGTTTGACAGGTATATCAGGTAGAATGCAACTAGTGGCATCAAGAGATGATATTGATGAAAAGTTTTTGGCAAACAATTCAGCTTTGTCTTTAGGTGAGGTGACAAAGTCTGAACCGTACAAAAGAGGCGGAATTACAGACTTGCCCTTATTATTGATACTATTAAAGATTGTCCAGAAGTCATGAGAGCCTAATTTTTGTGATGAAATACGAGATTTCATGATCTGAGAATAGCGGGCTTTAGCGTTAGACAAAACCTTTTTACAATGGTTCCTAGCAGTAATAAACAGACGTCTGTTTTCTGGAGAATTGTTTTGCTGATAGATATGGACATAATGGTTTCAATTGGCAATTGCAGCAGCACAATGTGAGGAAAACCATGGATAAGAGTGAGGCTTGACCTGGAATCGTCGAGAGGGAATAAAGGATTCCATGGCAGCCTGAATCCACGAAGTTATGTAAGAAGCACATTTGTCAACAGGGAGACAAAAGATTTCTATCCAGGGGCCATAACGAAGAAAGTCACGAAAAGAGTCCCAGTCAGCTTTAAGGTAGTTGTAAGATGTACGATGATAGGGGGATTCTGATGGTAAAGAAGAATGAGATAATAGTTTTAGAGAGACCAAACCATGATCAGACGCACCTAAGGGTGAGTGTGAAGAAACTGAACACTGACTAGGATCAGAAACAAGACATAAGTCGAGTAGAGAAGGTAAATGATTCGGGTTGTCTGGAAAGCGAGTTGGAAAGTTGACTATTTGAGTTAGGGATTGAGGAAGACAAAAGTTGTGGGCCTTAATGCCTGCAGAGTCATTGACACTAGAGCCAACCCATTCAGTGTGATGAACCTCAAAGTCACCGACAACAACAATATTGGCTGATGGATAAAGAATGAGGGCTTGGTCAATATAATCAGAAATAACATCAAAAAGAGTGCAATCTTGGGATGAGGGAGAGCGATATAGAACAAAGAGAAAGGTGATAGAGTGAAGTTGTGCTAAAGGAATGCACATAAAAGAGTAATTTGTGGATTCAAACCTAGTTTCCTGACAAATGGGTGAATTCTTACGAATGTAAATGCCCAGGCTAAGCATGTGACTATTGGAGTCTTTACGAATTAAAGGAAGATAACCATCAACACTAAGATCACAAGATGAGACAGCTGAACTCAAATTAGTCTCACAAAGAGCAAGCAGGTCTGGTGAACTTTGCAAGAGATAAGACTCAACAGAAGAAAAGTTACTTCGAAGACCAGGAATATTGGTGAATGATAGGTTTAGCGAACTTGTTGATGACTGTTGTTTTTTGTGTTTCATAGTTTTTGTTACTTTATTCATTTTTAAATTTGTTAAAGAACTTGACTCGAAACATAGGTAGTACTCAGTACACTGTTCTATAGCTCAAGCAATTGCCTCATTTCCACTAATAAACCCTAAGCCGTAACAAAGGGCTCCAATGTGGCCTTGGCAATGCACACCAAAAGTACAAACAGGGACACCATCCATGCGCAACATGGCACTTCCATGCGCAATCCATGGCACATCCATGCGCAATCGATGGCACATCCATCCGCAACATGGCACATATATATATATATATATATATATATATATATATATATATATATATATATATGTGCCATGTTGCGCATGGATATATATATATATATATATATATATATATATATATATATATATATATATATATATATATATATATATATATATATATATATATATATATATATATATATATATATATATATATATATATGTATATATATATATATATATATATATAAGGGATGGACCTTATAATTTTTTTGTTTAATAAGTTTCTATTAACTTTTTTTCAGGCTATCAGCAGCTTATTTCATAGATCATCCAGGTTATTTTATAAAAATCCGTACAATTGTTTGGGTAAAATATTCGGAATATATTTTCCTCTTAATTTTAATTTTAGCTATTTTTTTTTAATTTTAGTATGAGTGTAAAAGCATAAAAAGCAAATATATTACAAAAATGTATTCCTAAACTTGTGTATGTAGGGAAAATAATTTGGCTCTCCGGAAAAACTAAAAGATGAGAAAAATTCGGAAACAGATTCCTGTTATTAGGACTCTTGCCCTGTTAATTTTAAAGAAAAGTAAAGTTTTCAAGTAAATTTTTTTTTTATAAAAAAGAAAGTTATCTCTTTAATGCGCATACTTAATCTATTACTAAGCACATTAAAACCTTAAACTCTATCGTGACATATGCAAAAAAACTTTTAACGGTATTTTGGTGTTTTGTGAAGTTTTAAAAAGCTTTTTAAAAAGTTCTCTTCCTTTCGTTTGTTATTGTATATAATATCTTTATATATGATATGCATATAATCTCTATAGGCCTTTAAAATTGCTTTACTTAGAAAAAAAATTAAGTGTTAAAACTAAAAGGTTTAGACCCATGCCAATTACTTCAACTACTTTGGCATGCTACAATATTATCTTTTAACACTGTTTAATAAACTTAAGACTTATTGAACTTTATAAAATGGCATTAAATTGTTTAAAAACCTTTATAAAACTTTATAAAACGGCATTATATGCTTTATAAAAATTCATATAAATCAAAATTAAGCAAATATTGCATAGGGTAAGGTTGCCGATATTGTACCGGCGCCTAAATTGTACTTTTGCTGTATCTAGTTATTTTTACAACCCAGAAAATATCTTTTGACTTAAATTTTATCTTTGCTATGTTGAACTAACAAATCAAGTGTTTTTTCGTGAGATGAAACTAGGTTCTGGCAGCAGTTACCTCGAGTTGATAAGATGCCATATGAATTCAAATTAAATTCCAAGAAATTAAAATACATTAGCATTTGTTGCCTAATCTCGTTATAAACTCAAAGTGAGTCTAGTCGCGTAATTCGTACCTCACTTAAGGTCTTAAATTGTACAAAGGCTGCCATTTTGAATGCTCAAAATACGTGTGAAGTATATAAAAATAATATGAATTTTAAAATGTCGAAACGGAGATATGGTTTGTGGACAAAAGAAGGTATGAAAGAGGCTACTTTCGCTTATCGAAATGGTAAAATTGGACTTAACACTGTATGTGCAAAATATGGAATTCCTAAACCAACATTAAAAAGACATATAAATCATCAAAATATATTTGCAAATGAATCAAATAAACAGTTAGGTAGGTGTAGTATCTTACCTCCTGAAGTTGAGAAAAAATTAGTTGAACATGTTTTGAAACTGGAATCTTGTATGTTTGGAATAAATACAATAGATCTTAGACGATTAGCATTTGAAATTGCTGAAAAAAACAAAATACCTCATCAATTCAATAAAGATGTTGATATGGCTGGAAAGAAGTGGTATTACCAATTCATGAAATGCAATCCAAGCCTTAGTTTGAGATTACCTGAACCAACTTCTATGGCAAGAGCCACAGGTTTTTGTAAGGAAAAATTTGTATTATTTTTTAATAAACTTACTGAACTTGTTGATAACCACAATATTACTGCAGATTTGCTTTACAACGTAGATGAAACTGGAATAAGTACAGTTCACAAACCAAGGAAAGTTTTAGCTCTGAAAGGTAAACACCAAGTAGGAGGTATTACAAGTAGTGAAAGGGGTGTGAATACCACTGCCATATGTTGTATGAATGCTGTTGGATCTTTTGTACCTCCTATGCTTATATTTAAACGTTAAAGATTTAAAAATGAGCTTGAAGATGGTGCACCACCATTGACAGTTTTTGGATGTTCTGATACTGGTTGGATAACTAAAGATTTATTTACTTTGTGGATAGTGTCATTTTATAAGCTCTCATTTTATAAGCTATTAATGGATTTAGAGACACTGGGATATGGCTGTAGACAGCTCAGTTTTCCAGGAAGAGGACTTTGTACCTTGTGAAATACTCAGTAGAGAGACGAGTTCAAATACAAAAGTTTCTCAAACAGTAAGTTTAGTCATGTTTGCCTTTAGTCACATATTTTTCTTTCTCAACTTATTCAAATATCATAACTCTTACTGTTGTTCTAATTATATATTTTTTGTTTAACGTTTCATTTATTTAGCATGAACTTATTTTAGAAACAATTTCTGCGCATCCAGTGCAAACTTCTTCACTAGAGCAAAATCCAAAAAAATCTAGGGCTACTCTATTGAAACATAATGCACATAATGACCCACTCTCCAACGTAACTTTATTATCATCAATGAAAAAAACAGAACAGTAAGTCTTTTATTTTGTTTGTTCCAATTTTACATTAATGGTTACACACACTCAAAACACACACACAATACACACACACACACACATATTCATCTCCGAAGGTTATCCATAATATTATTATTTTCTTAATTAAAATGAAAATTTAAAGCTAATTTTTACTAGCAGAAAATTTTTAGGCTCAAGAAAATTTGTTAGAATTGTTATTGGTTATTTTTTAGGTTGCAGTGTCTTGACATACCAATAAAAGCATTATCTCCACTTCCAGTTAGAACTTCTCCTCTCAAAAGAAAAAAAATAATAATTCTAATACAACTGTATTGACGAGTAGTCCTTACAAAGATGTACTCTCTGGAAGAGCTTTACTGCGGCCAAATAAAAAAATAAAGCAGGACAGACAATGTTTGAAAGAGTGTGAGCAAGCAAATAAATCTCTTCAAAATGAAAGCTGGTTTTGCTACCTCTGTGAAGAAAATATAAAAAAGAGTATGATACAATGCCTTACATGTCAAGGCTGGTGCCATAATGACTGTGCAGGTGTTAATCAAAAACAAAAACGTTATATTTGTAACTTTTGTCAAGAATAAAGATTTTCTGTTTTGTATTATTAATATAATGTCCAATAATCATTTTTAACAATAGGCACCAAGGTTAAGCCAATTGCTCTATCTACACAAAACATCACAAAATTAATAAATAGCTTAACATGTCACAGAAACTCTCAAAAAACTCAAACCTCCAATGGACTAAGAAATTAGCTTGTTAAAGAATGTTAGAGTTATTGGGAGCATATTCTATATATAAAGACTCAACTGGAATTTCAAAATCAGTTTAAGTTGTTAAGGGTTATTGAGTCATCTAGAGTTTGTTGTATGTATTTTAACTACTAACAGCACACTTACATAAACAGAAACACTTACATAAATATTTACCAAATATAAATCCTTGAAATCTTTTATAACACATATTAACATATAATAAATAACAAAAATAATACTTAAAACTATTACAAATATAAAATTTACAATTACAACATTATTTGTGTAATAATTTTTTAATGACCTACATTGAAATGTAATGTGCTACCTGGAATTGGATAACCAAGAATTTCTGAGATTATCACCAACTTTATTAAGTGTTGTAACACTTACTACTGTAACTTTTATAAAAAAAAATTATTATTTTAAAATTAAAATCTTTAAAAAAACATCTGATCTACCAATGTAACTTAAGTCAAAAAAACAATCGTTTAAAAAAGACTTCAGGCTAATAAACAAAATTTCAAATAGAAATTTTTTTTTTTTCTTTTAAACTTTATTTAAAATTTACAAAAACATTTGAAACAATCTATTTCTATAAACCTATGGTATGGGACCCCTTCCAATGAAATGAGGGATATTCCCTACACCCATTTTTGGCCTACAACTTGTGCGGTCTTTAGGATGTGAGCCCCTTATTTAATCTTCTAATTGCCAAAAAGGTTTTACACAGTAAATTTAAAAATAAAAAATTATCTATAACACTCAAAAGTTTTATTTCTATGGTAACCTCTAAAAACTACAAATCACTTATCTATTTAAGGGGATGTCATTCCTGTTGGGGCAGCACTTGTTGATGTTGTTGCAACAACTGTGTTGGTTATGAAAATATTTATTAAAATATGTTATCTAATTAAAAATTACTTATTTTATAATTACACTAATTACAAACAGATTTTATAATGTGTTTTGTCATGACTGTACACAGCTTGGCTGACGAGGACAGCATTCTTGCTCTCAACAAAGCCATTCCATATTATAGCAAAGTACTCCACTTGACTAGCAAGGACAACACTCTTGCTGTAAACTAAGCCGAGTCACAACACTTTAAAGTCATGGGAAAAGCATAACAATAAACTATAAACTAATAACTAAGTTCGACTCCCAAAAAATAAAAATAAACTTAGTAGCCTCCTCGACTGTAGTGGCCCCCTTGGGCCACTAAACAATGTTATAACACATAACAAACATAGAAACACTTCATATATAACAGATATTTTCACATAAACACTTACAAAATAAAATTCCATATAACCTTACACATATAAACACGTAATAAAAAATACACATAACCACATCATATGACACATGAAAATACTTAAATATATAAATTAACCAAAACATATGAGTAAGCAATATTTGCAAATGCAATCTTTTTTTTATTTATTTTTTAATTGAAGATATTATATATTTTCTAGAGAATCAATATTTAAGTTAAAGCGATACTATAGCTGAGCTTATATATCTGTCTGTTTGGATATATATATGTCAAAGGGTAATCTACAATTTCAAGACATTTTCACTATTATTTTTTTTTTGTTATGGCTGTAGATGACTATTAATTTTTTAAATTGTATTGGCTTGATGTGTTATGTACAGTGATGGATCCAGGGAGGGGGATGCCCCCTCCCCCACCACGACCACCACCAGAATTAAAATTCTCCCCCCCCCCTCTACCCACCTAAAAATTTTGGATTCGTTGATGTTTATCCAATATAATATTGATATTATATTATATATATATATATATAATATGACATAATATAATATTATATCTATCAATTATAATATAATATGATATCTATCAATTTCACCTAAAACATGTATTAATATTATACCATTATTTAAAATAGTTATAAAATATTTTTTTATTAAAATATAACTTAAAAAGATCTTGACAGTTTTTTTGGCTCACTTCCAAAAAAAATTATATGATCTGTTTCTTGCTTGGGAATGTTATAAACTCTATGTGCCGACAATTTTATTTCTTTTTTATTTTTGTTTAATGATGTTTTATACTGGATCTACCATAGCAGGGATTGGTTGCTTTCTAAAAAAAAAAAATTAATGATAAAGGCTATCAAATTTTATCAAAATATTATGATATCAAATTTTGCATCTCATATTATAATTTCAAGTTTTAAGCTCAGAATGATATCAAAGAGTTTCAATTTAATATCATAAACTTTTCATATTTTGATATCAGGTTTTGAGTTCAAAATGATATCAATAAGTGATTTCATTTTGATGTCATATTAACATCATAACCTTCTCATATTATGATATTAGGTTTAAAGTTCATGTTTCTACTTTATAAGCATTTTACACGGCGAAACAAGCTAAACTAATGATCGGAATTTTTCGCAAATTTTTCTCATTTGACATAAGCATGAACATACTTAAGTTTGGAGTTTGCACAATTATCAAGTGTCACTTTTAAAGCATCAAAAAATCTTATATCGCCACCAACTTGAACTATGACAAAGAATAATTTAAGATGAAGAAAAATAATATTTTAAGTTTACTTTACTGTGCTGTTTTTTTAAAATAAATATTATATTATAATAAATATATAGTTTATTAAATATTTTTTTAAACTTATAAAAGGTATAAAAGGTTAAAAAAAAAATTATGTATTTTTATATTTATTATTTCTTCATTTGTACTGACTTATTTGCAGTATAGTTGTTTTTCAACATAAAAATATATAAATATATAAAAATAGGATAAAGCAAATTTTTGTTGTTGCATATAAACTAACATTGGAATTACTTTCTATTTAATAAAATTTAAATTTTTGAAATTATTATTTTAATTATCTGTTTGTATATTTGCTTAAATGTTTGTTCATGAAATTTTTTAAAATTATTTTAAGTTCAGATAGAAATACAACTAATAAAACACAAAATTTGTGTCTATCTGACACAAATACAGATCAATGAATTGATCTGTATTTGTATCAGATAGACACAAATACAGATCAATTTAAGATTAGATTAAATATCAAACAGAATTTATACGACTTTTTTTTTCTTTTTTTAAATTTATTCAACTTTTTTTAGGTACTGTTCTTTGTTTTGATGGTGCGAATGAAGATTTAGGAGATATCTTTTTTATTAATCCATCTTGGGTTTTCAAATTGATGTCAAAGTTTATTACTGTTGATGCTATTCATACATTTGTTAAAAATGGTATCTTAGAACAAGACAAAATTATGGTAAAAAAACATTTGCAAATAAAAATTGTAGTTTTGATTAGTTTTGGTTTTATATGCATGCATAATACCAATGATAGTATTGTTTTGTAACATTTTAGTTTTTTATAAATGCTGTCACCATGTTTGCACATATAAGATGTAGCAAAGAGAATTCCTAATTACTAATTAAATATATATTATATATGTATAATTAGTAAAACATTGATTTTGTTACATTTGTTTTTTTGATTTAAAAACAAAAAAGCATAATGTTCTTAAATAATGCTATGTTTTAAATGGTTTGTTTTTGATTCATTTTTTTAATCTCTTTCCAAAGTTTTATTTATATTTTGACAGCCTTATTAACGCTAATCTATAATCTAAGTTTTGCTCAACATAAGTTTTTATCTTAATGGAAAAAACCTTATTTATTCTGATTAATGAATGATGAATTTTGTCATATCTCACTGCACTGCAAAGGTATTAAAGAAGAAAATATTTATCTTTCTCAGTTTGCTTTTGTGCCCAGGGTTGACCACACGGGTTTGGAAGTGGAGGGGCACAATCGTCAATTTCTAAAAAAAGTCCTCCTAATCTAGAATTTTCTAAAAAAAAAAAAAGGTCTTTTAAGAATAAAGGAGGGGGGGCACATGCCTTTTGGCTCCTTTGGCATCATCGGCCCTGTGTGCCTGGTCCTTATCATTAACTAAACAACTAAAGCTCTGCTAATGGTGGTTATTTGGCTCTTAAACAAATTCTTGTCCTCAGGTGGTTGATGTACTAGTGTCGAATTTTAAAAAACATTTGATAAAATCTCTAATATAGTTGGCCTCCTTGCAGCTAAAAATGAATTTTAATTAATGAAAATTGCTTTAACATAAATTAAATTGTAATTATGTTGTCATTATCACATTGCAAGAAAAAGTGAATAGTTTGCTTGTTGAAAAGTTGGCCACTAAGTGCTAAGATGCAGATTAACAAATCAAAAATTAATTTTTTTTTGATGGTTTCATGGATTTGCTTACATTTGTCATTGGCAGTAAGTTAGAAGCGATTAAACCCTCACTCAAACTGTTACATAAAAATCAAAGTGTTACATTATAAAATGTTCTTAAGTAAATTCATGTAAGATGCAACTTCTACACCCGACACTACACTAATCGACTCAATAAAATCTTTTGCAGGTCTTTTAAATCCTCTAGAAATGCCAAGTGTATTTATTTATAAAGAAAATAGTAATAATCTTATTTATGAATATGTAAAGTAGTTTTTAAAAAAAAAAATTTTTTGTAAGCTTTTTATTGATAAGCATTTTTTTAAAAAAGTCTTTGGGTAAAAGGACCTCAGAATGCAGTGGGACCTCAGAATATCAAGTCGGAAATAAACCAACATAGATCTCGATTTTGTTAAACAAACTCCTAAAGTGTTGAATAATCTGAATAAAGAATATAATTTTAAGTCAAATAAAAAAATATTACATGTAATATTTAAAAATGGTCTAAATTACAAAGAAATTGGAAAAAGTGTACAAGCTATTAACACATTTTTTAAAAATAATTTTGAATATTTCAAGCCCTTCTAAAAATAAGGAATAATAATAATGAAGTCTTCAACATTATCTTCATCAGACTCAAACTGAAGACATTTTTTGGGTTTTCACAAAATGGTTTGGATCATATTCGGTTTTGAACCTGTTTCACCTCGACATTGCTTTACTATATGTAGATTTCAAAACATTATGGCAACATGAGCATTCTCGAAGCTTAGTTACTGCACAAACATTTTTTCCATATGAATATTCTTCCTTACATTTATAGAATGCCTCAATTTGTTGTTGTTGCAAGGATTTCCTTTCTTTATTAGCTTTCTCCTGTTTGACTTTTGACCATTTCCAATATTTTTTTTCCCTTCCATTGAACCGTAAATCTGGGTAACTCTAACATTTTCCTAGTTTATTTTAGGTGTTGCTTTAGTTACAGGCAACAAGTTAGGTATTTCTCCCAGTGATATTGATTTATCGTTTGATAAGCTTTCATGGCACTTTCGTATTTATGTTTCCAATATCTTGCTGAGCCATAGTAAACATCTTTTGGAGATGAAATTGTTACTGCTGTTGATAATTGATTATTTTTGGTATTTTCATTAATACACAGCTCAGTTTGTATATACTTATCTTCCTGCATCCACTTAACACTGAGTCCTCCACTTGAAATGCCAACTTTTTTACCTGCATTTATGATTGTTTGTTTTGATGCCCACTCTGCCCATAACTCTACAAGTATATTTATCAAAACCTTCTCTGTTGGTTGTCAAAAACAAAGAATAAAGTACAGATTTAGCACTTCTGTTCTCAGAATGCAATTTCTGATTGATTTGATCAAGGAGCTGGGTATTGCCAGTTGTGTCAGGTGGAATGGTAAAAAGTCTAATATTTTTGCTTCTTAAAAATGTCAATATATCACTGTCAAATCTTGAATAGTGATCATCAGATAGGACAACAACAGGCCATTTTATATTGTTTTTTTTTCCTAAAAAGGTGGTCGAACATTTGATAAGCACTTAAAAGTGTACTGTGATCATAACTTCCACTGTCATTTGTGGAGACTGGAAGGTTTGGAATTTGTATAACTGCTTCATTTGGAGCCATGTGGGTACTAATCCCTTTTCCCTTGAATGTGGCACATTGCTATATCTCCTCCAATTGAAACAAAAGGATGTATAGTAACGCATTCACTATTTTCTCTTATCATCTTTTGACAACGTTCCCCTCTCCAGCATACACTAAACTATTTGGATTACAATCAACTCCATAGTTTATAAACTGGGGTGTTTCATCATGATTAACAATTCTAGTGATATCTATATCTCTCTGCCATACACCTGTTTCTAATTGATTTGCATCTATGAAAATATTACATTTTATAAGTTTTTCAGTTAATTGGTTGAGGTGGTTACATGCCATTTCTTTTGTGCAGTTAAGTGCATGATTTATGGATACAGTTCCTTGTCTCTTTTTGGTAAGCTTCTTTATTTGGAGTACAGTATATATATAACAGACTAACAACTCTTCGTCTTTTGTAAAAATTGAACAATATTCTTTCTCATTTCCAGTTACATAGACACCATCAATACATTTGTTAATAGTTCTAAGATCTTTAATTAGTGGAAATCTTCCTGAATTAACTGCAGCCCAACCACAATTATTTTTAATTCGGCACCAATCAACTGCTTCCTATTACTGCTTACTTTTCATCACTATGACATCTCTTAGAACATTGCATCTTGATTTGATTTTTTGTTTAACTCTAAAGGACTTCCCCATTTCTTATTTATTCTCTACTACAAAGGAATGTCAAAACTTTTGTACTTGTACTCTCATTTAGTAAACGCACTTTAATTTAATTTATTTATTTGTTCAAAAACAAACAAAGAAAACTAAAGTGTGTTTTAAAGGAGATTTAGTGATGAAACTATAACCAGAATATTCATTTCATAACTTCCAGAAGAAATTGAATGCAAATAACTTTCTATTTTTTATTAACTTTTCTTTATCTAGCCTTTTGAAGTCCTTTAACCTAGCATTGTGTAGTGGAATGTGAAAAGTTTAAAAGATAAGTGAACGAAACATTTAAAATATGCTCAGCATTGCAAATAAGTAATATATGCAGAAATTCATGAATAACTAAGCAATATTGGCAACAATACTACTTATTATTTAAGCTGACATTCTGAGGTCACACATGAGGTCCCTAATGAAAAAAGCATGCCCTAAATATTTATTTAAAGACATATGAAAACTGTATTAAAAAACTACTAAAACTTTTTGACAATCTAGCAAAAGTATTTTTTCAACTCTCAGAAGTAAAAACAAAACATGCTCAAATATTTGGAGCTTAGCAGAATCTTAAAAAGCACCTAACATTCTGAGATCCCTTTACCTGTAGGAACATCAAAAAGATTAAAAAGTACTAAAAAAGATTTTGTTAGTGGAACTATTTGTCACATGAAATAAATTATGTAGGTCTCGAGACTCTTTTGATCCTTACAAAAATATCAACACTATGGATGGATTAGTAATTAGTACTTAATTATTCATTGCTATCAACTCCCCTCTAAGTTTTTGCATAAGTAACTTTTAAGCAACAACTGTTGTTAAGCAACTGCAGCTGTTGCTTGAAAAGTACTCATGCTATCAAGCTAAAAGTTTTACAAATTGGAAAATAAATTGGAAAAAATACATACACAAAAAAGTGCCTAAAGGTAATGTTTTTTATATTTTTATGTTAAATTTAATCTATTATTATAGTTATTTAATATTTTGATTTTTATATAGCTTTTTATAACCTTTCAATAGCATTTCATCAAAAAAATATTGGTGCTTTCCAAATTATGTTAGGTATGGTTGGGTTTCCGCTATTTTTTGTGAGTCCTTTTTAACTGCAATATGGAATAGTTACTGTGTAAAGCATAAGTGGTGATAATAGAATAAACTAGTTATTAGTGCCTTATCGAAACACTAGTAATAATAAATGTGACTCTGAGGAGATATTTATTACTTAACCACTACACAAACTATGTTTACGCATTAGTAATGTTTTTTTCATTCTTGTGGGCCATACATTGTTGAATGCTTTTATTTTAGTTATTGTGATATATTTGTTGTATATCTTTGTTCATTTTAAGTATTTAAAAAAAAATTATTTTTTTATTATTGTAAATATTGTTTGGGTGCAATGTTTGTCTTATAAATACAATAGTTTTAGAACAATTTTGCTTTTGACAAACTTATTTTATGTTTTATTGCGTTATTTGTTTTGTCTCAAAATTAAATTAATTCAGACCGTAGAAAAAACTTAACTTTTAGAAATTTCTAAAAGTTAAAACCGTAGAAAAAATTTTACTTTTAAACAATTTTTTTCCTGCTCTTTACATCATTTTGATATCACGCATTATATCATTTTTAACCACCCATTCGTCTAAATTTTATCTAGTCGTATTACAATAACAGCATTAGCACAGCATCAGTAACATATGTTAAAGCAGCTGATGCAACAAATAGTTCTAATGTTTACTTCCACACAATGCTTTCCCATAAAGACTTAAGATATTTACTTTAGATATTTTAATGTTTACTTAAGGTCAGTAGTGAGTGATAACCCAAGAAGACATAAAGTAGAAAACTCAGTGAGAGGTTCGCAATTCATAAATATAGAAATGTCAACAGTTTTGTCTCAAAATTAAATTAATTCAGACCGTAGAGAAAACTTAACTTTTAGAAATTTCTAAAAGTTAAAACCGTAGAAAAAACTTTACTTTTAAACAATTTTTTTCCTGCTCTTTACATCATTTTGATATCACGCATTATATCATTTTTAACCACCCATTCGTCTAGTTAGATAGTTAGATAGTTGTTAGCAGTAAATAACTGAGTTTAATTTTAGTTAAAATTCACAAGCCATTGCAAGTCAAAATCTGTTATAGAAGTGAGATCAGATTCAAGATTAGCTGCCAGTTCTAAGCAATCAAAAAAGAAAATTTTTGTCAAGGCAGTAATATAAATTCAAGTCATAAACAAAAAGAGCCACTTTAGATGTAAAGTTGTCAGGAAGGTCACTAATGTAGATAAGCAAAACAGGACCAAGGATAGAGTCTTGAATTACCGAGAATTTACTGGAAATGAAGAAGAGTGTTTCAAGGAGTGGCCTTCAAGGATGACTTTAAATAAAGTGGTTAGAAAGAAACAATTTGGTCTCAAAAACTTTCCCAGGTGCACCTATGAAGCAAGCTTATGGAGAAGACTATCATGCCAAATTCTGTTGAAAGCTTTAGATATGTCAATAGCAATAGCCCTAGTTTCTCCTCCTCCATCTAATGCTCGATAAAATCTTTAAGTCACAGCAGCTAACAAGTCAGCCGTAGAGCGAGAGGATCGAAAACCGTATTGATTGTCTGACAGCAAGTTATTTGACTCAAGATGGGATGTGAGAAATTAGTTTCTTAAAGACTCAAAGACCTTGCTAATAACAGTAAGAAAACTGATTGGAAGATTCAAGAGTTGAATTATAAGAAAAATTCTTTGCAAATAGTTCTAACTTGTTCTTGGGTGAGGTAATAATATCAGTCCCATGAATGAGAGGTGAAATGTTAGACTTGTTGTTTTTAATAACACTGTTGATAATCTTCCAAGTCTCTAGAGCCTAACATCTGAGATAAGATGTGAGATTTAGTGAACTAAGAATAATGGAGCTTAGTATCTAACAGCACCTTTTTACATTGATTTCTTTCAATAATAAATATCTGTTTGTTCTCAAGAAAATCACTCTTTTGAAAAAAATTAAAGAAACAGTTGTGATTAGATATATCAACTGCACAAGAAGGTGAAAACCATGTTGTAGAATGGGATTTGACTTTGTACCGACAAAATGAAATAAATGCTTCCATTCCTGCGTAAATCCAGGTGGTTCATAGGAGGCACATTTATCAGTTGAAAGAAAAAAAACTTTCATTAGCCCCTAGATCATTCACAAAAAAATCACAAAAAAGAATTCTAGTCAGCTTGAGGGTAGTAGTATATGGTGTAATGATAGGGTAAGTCCGAAGAAGAAGTATGAGATGAAAGATTTAAAAAAATCATTGCATGATCAGATCCACCTGAGAAAAAGAAGAAGTTGAACACAAGCTAGAGTTAGAGACAAGTTAAATGATTATGGTTGTCATGAAAAAGAGTCTCTAAAGTTAACTATCTGAGTAAGAGATTGAGAAATGCAGAAGTTATAGGCTTAAGTGCCAAGAGGGTTAGTGGTATTAGAGCCAAGCCATTCAGTGTGATGAACAATTCACCAGTATTGGGGAAAAAAGGTAAGTAATAAAGGAGTAAAAGAGAGAGGGCATGGTTAATTTGATCAGAAATTACATCTAAAAGAGTGTAGTTTTGGAAGAAGAAGAACAATAAAAAACAAAGAGAAAGGTGCAAAACAGAATCTCACAAAAAAATGTTCAAAAGATTCTTGACAAATAAGTGAATTGATGCATATGTATACGGCTAAACCAAGAGTGAAAAGGTGCTAAGCAGATAATAGAGTGAAAAGGTGTTAAGCAAAAGCTCATAAAAGAATGGGCAAAAGATTCAAATTTGATTTCTTGACATAATAGTGAATTGATGCATATGTATATGCCTAAACCAAGCATGTGACTATTATAGTCTTTGCAAAATAAAAATAGTAACCAATAACACTGAGATCTGAAGGAGGAAAAGAAGGAATTTAAATTAATCTTACTAAGAGTAAGTCTGTTGAGTTTTGCAAGAGATTCAACTGATGGCAACTGTTGTTTTGCAGACTACAAATATTAGCAAAAGATATATTAAAACACTGGCGGTGTTAGGGATAGATTTTTTTGTTTAATATTTTGGGTTTCTTTTGGAATGATTTAAGTTTAAAAAGAACTTGACTCATTCATAAATAGAGCTTGGTCCCCAAGCAATGAGCTATGCAGATATTTCAGTCTTGTTAATTAAATCATAACTTAAGGCTCCTTATGTGACCTCAAAAATGCACACCCAAAGCATTAACAGAGATACAACCCATACGCAACATGGTACTGTTAATACTCTGATAATTTACAGCTGTTGCTGAAATCAACCTCTAAGAGCTACCACAGAGTTCGAAAACCTCACTACCCGCCAGTCTCAGTACCATTAAACTGAGTTAAATAGAGCTGCATCTTCATTAAATAGAGCTGCATCTTCATTAGAAGATAGCAGGAATAGTTGCATAGCAACTATTAATGAGGCACAAGCAAAAAATAGATCCAACATTCATCATCCTAATCAGGAAACAATGTAACACAGGTTAATCTACTCCAGCCTACGCCAACCCAGATCCTTGGCTTTGGAAAGGTTAACATATATTTTGAAAAAAATGTGATTAGCTAAAATGTAGCTACTACTACGTACCTGCTACTAACTACTACTAATTTGTATTTCTGTATTTTTATTATCTGTTGCTCAAATAAAATGTTCTTTTTGTTATATTGTGTCAAATAAAATATTTATTCCTATATATATTTATTACAAATCAAATCAAATAGTATTTTTATCACATAGACAATTATTTTAGTTTAATCTTTTTCCAATAAATTGCTGACTTAAAAAAATAAACTTATTATAAGTTTTAACAGTTTTTATTATTACATTTTTTATAATCAAAAGATTTTTTTAATGAGTTCTTTCATTTTCATTATTTTTTAAGTTTTTTAAGAATTCTAAACTAAAATCAAATTATTTATAACAAGTTATTTATATTTGAGAAATAATATCTGTGGCCATTCCTCAATTTATGATAAGTGCTAAAATGACATTAAGCTGGAGAAGAGTTTAAAAATTTGATTTATTGCAACTAAATTAAAACACAATTCGGTGAAGGTTTCTTGGTGATTATTTACTTCCTACATTTGCATTTATTGAAGCATTAAATGATGTGCTTAACAACGACCCATCTAGAATTTATGATATATTATTTATGTATTTATGTATATACTTGACATATCTAAAATAAGATATTATATAAACATTTTTTTTTAGATTTTATTGCTATGGTTTAAAAACTGTGCTTTTTTAACATAAAATAATTAATTATTTTACGGGTCAATGCAATAACTTTTTATGGAGATGTTATTATAAATTATGATCATTTTTTTTCAAAAATTTTATATAGTTTTGCTTCTTTTGAGACCCAACATGACATACTTTTAAAGAATGTAATGTCGAATGTTTTAAGAGTCTTGGTGAAACATATATATATATATATATATATATATATATATATATATATATATATATATATTTATATTATTTTACACTGTGTTTCATCAACAAAGACTCTTCAGAAATGATTTCTGATGAGTCTTAGTTGATGAAACACAGTGTAAAATGAAAAAAAAATTTGTTTAGTGATTTTCTACTAATTTATAATTGCTCTGTTCTTTTAAGAAAATTGAGCACTCCATTTTGTAGAATACATTTTTAAAATTGATTAAATATATATATATATATATATATATATATATATATATATATATATATATATATATATATATATATATATATATATATTAGTAATTCTATTTGTCGGTAAATATAGTATTTCATTTAAGTATATTGTTTTATTTTATACAATAAACATAATTCGAATGGCTTTAGTTATAATTTAAGAATTGTTTTTTTATTTTTTTATTTCTAGATTAATAATCTTCCACCTGAATACCTAAAAAAAAACTTTGATTGTTTGATGGGATACATAACAAACTCAAAACCTTGTTATAAAATGAAACTAATAATAATTGGGTTTTCACAGCAAGGAAAGACAACTCTGCTTAAAAGGCTGAAAAATTGCACTAGTTATGTGAATCAATCAACGCATGGTAAAATTATTTATGTTTTTTATTAGATTTATCTTTCTAAAAATGCAGGGGATCACTAGAGTGGTTACAATGCATTTGTATTATAATTATAAATTTTTGCCATAATTGTAAAGAGCATAAAAACAGCAATGGTTTATGGCATTAAAATAGTGCATTTGTATTAATGAGTTCGAAGAATGAGAACAGAGTTGTGTATTCAAAAAAGAAAAAATTGTTGATGCCCATCTTTGTGAATCCAATTATGTTTTCCAATTCTATAAGTTGGATCCACATAACTGGATATTATGTTTTAATGTAAAACTGTTTTTTTAAGTATTTTTAAATTGTCTGTCTTTTAGAGGCTACTAAGTATAAATACATACTTAAGCCTGTGTATTTTAAAATAAAATTTTCTCTTAATAAAGTTTTAAAATAAAATTTATGTTCATAGCACATCATTGCACAGTTAGTTGTTTCTCCCCCTGCCCCCTGAGCATTTAACTTCATTCTTCACCTTTTGTTCATCGCCGTAACCACATCCAGCAGAATAGCCTAATGTCCGTTTTGTTGTTGTAGTGTGCATTGGAAAAAGTCGGGGCTCACCAGCCACAAAGAATAAATTTATTTGTTTATGCGACACAATGATCGCAAAAAGTGACCAATGGAGCCGTCCAGTTACGTAGACCTGGAAAATGTGATAATAAAAACAGTTAGTAGATTGTGTCAACACCATCGACTAACCTGGGAGATGTGATAATAAAAACAGTTAGTAGATGGTGTCAACACCATCTATAAACTGTTTTTATTATTACATCTCCCAGTTCTACGTAACTGGACAGCTCCGTTGGTCACTTTTTGCGATCATTGTGTCTCATAAACAAATAAATTTATTCTTTGTGGCTGGTGAGCCCCAACTTTTTCTAATGTACACCACAACAACAAAACAGACATTAGACTATTCTGCTGGATGTGGTTACAGCAATCAATAACCTAATGACTATGCTGACACTCACGCGCACATTCAGTTGGAAGCTCCACAATGCATGTCAGATCAGCGCTTGCTGACTATGTGCTTGCATCTGAAATCTCACTTCATAGCACATCATTCCACGCCAGCACGGGGCAGTCTCTTTTGGCTAAGAGTGATGGCTTGTGGCCTATGGTGACTAATGTGTGCATTTGATCAATTGAAATCCATTCTGTAGGTCTCTGTTTTGCTAGCCCATAAGCGTAAGAAGTGAGTGTGTTTAGCTTTCTATTCACCCGATTTGAAAGTGAGCAAGAACATAATGAGACCATACTAGATGACCAAACGATATATACTAATGCACTACACCATTACACCTGTAGACATCAACAGTCTCTAAAATCAGTATATCAAATATTTGTTCTAGACATTAACAGTCTTTAAAAACAGTAAATCAAATGTTTGTTCTTTATTGTATACTTTTGTTCTTGTTTTGTTTTTTTCATAATCTTTTTTTTACTTTATCCTTGTATATTTATTCAGATTTGTGTTACAATGTGTGAATGAGA